GTGGAGGTAGTGAGACGGGACAAAGTCAAGATATTAGAGTAGGCTATTCTATAGTCTTTGGACGGAAGAGAGCGCTCAAAACTCTTCAGATTAATTTAGTGGAACATTAATATAATATAGAATCATCCTCTGTCAAGAATTGAGGTGTGAACATGTGAGAATTTATTATTATCTTTCTAAATGTGCGCTCTTTTGGGCGAAAGGCTTAATTGAACCGTTTAAAGTAGCCATGTGATCACAAATTAATCGGCGATTCGGCGCAGCACAGACGTGATTTAATACATGTGTCCTTAATACTTTACTTTTTCTATGTGAAAAAAATTATAAATTCCAGTTTATGCTGTTTGATTATGTCTTCGAAGGTCGTAGTTGGAAGCTGTTAGCCCCGGCTGGCCCGTGTGCGCAGTTGAAATGCGGCTAATAATTTCTGACTGGCACATAACTGAACAAATGTAAACGGGTTAAGGCGGGGCCCCCTACAAGGCGGGGCCCCTGGGCTGCAGCCCATTCAAGCCCAATGGTAAGTCCGGCCATGATTGTGTGACCACCTCTCGCCGATCCTGTATGTAGTGTACAACAGCAACAAGATGGAAACGCAGACAGTCGTGCAGTGTGAGAAGACAAATTTCATAACCCATCACCACATAATGAAATAATGTATAGCAACAGCAACTTACAACCACTGTAAGTATATCCAATTTTACCTGCACACATAAAGCAACACATACTAAATAGCATTAAAAAACCATGAATTTCTTGAATGCTGTTTCGAAACCATATGTAAATGTGAATACAACTGACTTGACTTGAGAGCTGCAGAGTCTTCATATTTAAGAAAAAAACTATAGAATAACGATATATTTTATTCACTGTCAATATAAATCTATAGAATCTAATAAATAAAATTCAGGTAACAACTTGCACTTATCTTGTTTGGGCAGATTTCATTCTATGTTTTGAGTAAAGACTACCTAGATTTGGCATTACGAAACTTAGTCGATATATATATATATATATATATATATATATATTTTTTTTTTTTTTTTTTTTTTCTGTCTTTTTGGACAA